CCTAAAAACACATAACAAAAACACAGCAAACATCTCTATTAATGTAGTAAGCAGGGAACTGAATGAACAAATATTGAAGTCAGTTCCTAACTTGTCATCATCGTGGACAAAGAAAATGAATGCTCTCTAGATCCATCTCTAAAACTTTATTACCAGCAAATAATGAATTCATATTTACAAAATTGAACAAGAAAATCAAATCATGTATGTGTAATTAAATATAGTCTGTGCATGTGCTGCACAGAAAGACGTACATTAACCTGTTTCCTAGAGAAGCAGAAAATTGAAATTCAGACATTTTTCAAGAGAGAAACAAAGAAGTAAGCCTAGTAAACAATAAATCCAGAATTATGCCATTGTTCTGCTTTCACCAAAAGGAAGCAAAAGTGATGAACTTGAGAGCATCTCTTACCTATGCTTGCTTCCAAAATTTAGGCCACCATGATGGATACCGGTCGAAGAAAGCCATGTGAAAGTACAGCTCTTCTTTGCTTGATAAAGATTAGTTCACTGCAGATAGGCAAAAATAACTTCAATTTTCAAAAAATACGAGAATATGATTATAGATTGTAAATAGAATCAGTGAACAGATCATAGAGGAACTTCAGTTTGAGATTTGGGATTTGGTTTGTTTGTTTTGACACAGATAAGGAGATCATCATACCATCTAGTTGTCCCTGGTCAATAATTTATTACACTTTTTCAATGAATATAGCATGAATTGATAACAAAAAAAATAAAATAATAATAATAATAACTAAAAGGTATTGTTTCGAATGAAAAAATTCAAATCTCAAACAAATATTTTTGAATGAGAAATTTCGAATCTTAAACATATATTTTTGAATGATAAATCTCAGATCTGAAACATATGTTTTTGAATAAGAAATTTCAAATCTCAAACATAATTTTGAATCAGAAATCTCAGATCTAACAGATTCCCCAAATCATCTTCCAATTGAATTTGATGAAGGCTGTGAACTCCTAATGAAAACATTGGTCACGTGTCAAACCATAGAATTACTGGTGGGGTGTCAAACCATTGAATTACACACAAGTTATGTGACCGTTGTAAAATAAAAATTTTACACTAGGTGGAAACAGATACATCTCCTATATATGTAGTATGGTCAGTTTCTAGGTGAATTACACACAAGTTACTTAGCACTCTCTACAAACAATTTATGTAGTATGGTGTCTCATACTTATGACATAGCAAAGCATGGGTTATTGAAACAAATGGATGAAACTAATGTTTTAAAGAGTAAATCCAACCTCAATGACCCGTCTTTCAAAGTTGAATTTTAAGGTTCAAAAGACATGAGAATAAGTCTTTCAACTCTATATTTCACATGATAAGCATTTGGCTTGATATGTCATACTCTCACTAATCCTTTCACTTGTCCAAAATTTTTGGGTGAAAAAATCTTCACAAAGACAACAATGATGCCTCAAAGATTGGTTAGTACTCTCATATATTCTCAAATTCCTTAAATTGTAGCACTTACTTTTTCATTTTAACAAAATCCATTCTGCCTTTTCAGAAAATAAAATAAAATAAAATTTGTTCTCTCAAATTTCTTCTGTAAATTATGAAATTTCCCCTTCATCTCTTGACATATTTGACATGTATTTCTTCGCAATAACATCGCCTCCAAAACAGAGCTGTGAGCAAGCTAGTATGCATATTATGCAGCACAGTATACTATATGTTGAAACCACAAATTTGTATTAGTCGTATGAGTTGAATCCACATCCTGTAGAAACTTCACACATTTATTTCATGTGATACAACCCCCCCCCCCGAGAATTTACTCGTAATTTACTGAGTATTTATGCCAAAAAGAAAAGAAAAATAAATATTCAAAAAATTCCATCAAACTTCAAATATTTGTCCCCATCCACCACCTTATCAACACTAATTTCAATAAACCTCTCCCATTGGGGCAAAAAAATAAAAATTAAATTAAATGGTTTTCAAAAATAGTAATCTCAAAGTTATTATTGCAAGCCTAACCAGAGAACTCAAATCAACTATCATGAATCCAAAGTAATTGAACCTGTAAAACTCATTTGAAACTTGAGTTGGTCAAACCACACCTAAATTGTCCAACTTTAAATTTTGAGCTTCATCAGCCTCCATGTTTCCACAATGTTGCACAGACATACCTTGTATGCACCCTTGACTCCACCAATTTCAAGAGATGACTCAATGCCTCTCTTGATAAATTGCCTTTCTGTGATTTCCAAAGAATGGAAGAGCTTCTCTCACTAACCCATGCCACTAATGGCGTGCTTTGTTCTTCCTTTATGATTAGAACCATTGGCTATAGATTGATCTTGAGAGTCGGGGCTTTTGATTTTTTTTATTTTTTGATCTTGGGAGCCACGACTTTCAATTCCCACCTCCACGTTTCAAATTTCCCTCCCAAATTTTTTGCGACCAAAGACCATATTAGTCGCAGAAAAAGTATCTTTAAGCATGTTTTTGTATTCTGGAACCAGTGAATTCTTGTATTCTGCACTCTATTTTTACTTCTTTAAGCATGTTTTTATAAACAAATGTTTTTTACTTCTTATAAACAGATGTTTTTTACTTCTTATAAAATGGAGTATTTTTGTTCAAAAAAATCTGCTCTTTATAGAGATATTACATTCAGTAATATTACTTCTTATGGATTGATGCTCATTATAAAGATGCTTTGGGATAAGTAATATTTTATAAAGATTCAAAAACAGATTCAAATATTACTTTTCACCACCTTTATCTGCATAAGCAATCAACAATGAGAACAAAGAACAAAGAGAACAACGGTAATACCGGAAAACCCAGCAGCACAAACCCATGAAATGGACAGCTCAAGAAAACCCAACTGTCGAAAAATGGATACCTTGATCAATGACGGTGAAATCCTTGCCATTGTACTAACTAAAGAAAAATGGATCAGAATGAGCATACCTTGATCAACGATGGTGACTGCACGCCGCTGCGTAAAGATCCTGTTCTTGCATTGGCATTTTCTGCATTTCCAGGCTGTTGTTCATACTCAAGATAGGAATCTAATTTTGAACAAATACTGACTATATCCTTGCAGGGCATCTCAATCTGAGGATTACTTGAGTCATTTGTCAGTATCACTAATTTATAATTCCAGTTTATATCCGGACTTTCAGATGGATAGTCATGTAACCCAATGGGCAGGGGAATATAACTAACCACAGCTACATGTGTGTCGGTTCCAGGAAAAAGTATTAAGCCTTCCTTGTATTTAATCTGGAAAAGCTATCCATTTCTCCAATCGAATGTTAATAAAACCTCCCATGATGAACTGTCCTGCATAAGTTCCCGTTACAGTACTACTTTGCCCAGCCGCCAATAGCCCGATGCCCCAAATATAGAGAATGGGGAAAAGCCCTCCACCATACTTCTCATTAAGATACTGTCCTGCATTTAATAGGCCTAGATTATTTGCTTCTGCGGAGCCATAGAATCCTTTAGCAAATACAGTAGTAACAAACAAGTTGATCATGAAGGAGATGAGAAGGGCCACTGAAGATTCAATTGAGTAGTAATTTAGTGCCTCTTGGACATGCCCTTTCTTTTTAGGGTCGATCTTCCTTGACTGCACCAAAGCAGAATGCAAAAATACATTGTGAGGCATAATAACGCATCCCACCACTCCAATAGCTTGCCTAACTGTTTTTGAGCTGAGTTTTGGAACCAAGAGACCTACAAAGAGGAATGAATTCTGTTTTTACATATGACTATAGAAATCATAAATTTAATTGTATGTTAAGAGGAGAATCCAAAACAAAACAAAATACGTTTCTCACCTACGAAAAGTTCTTTTCCACTAGGTTTCGCATCAGCAAACATCCAGGCAAACGATAATGCCATAGTTGAGATGAGAACTGCAAAAACAGCTTCTAATTTCCTCACTCCATAGTTCTCCAAAAATAAAAAGATGAAACTGTTCACGACAGTAAAACAAAACAAAACTTGTCAACAGAATGAACTTTCATTTTTGTGAAGCAATTGCTTAATTTCAGAATCAGTAGCAGTAAATTATTAGAAAAAAGGTAAACATTTAATGAGATCCAATGTAATAAGGCCAAGAAACAAGAAAGTACCTTTCAACTAACTGACAAATTAACAGTGTCTTAAAAGATTTAAATTCAAGAAAAAAAAAGAAGCAAATGAGACATTTTGAGCATAAAAAATAATATAGACAACTCAATAAGTACTATATGATGTGAAATTAGCAACAACAGAACAGGGCAACAATTATTATTAGTATAAATCATACAATTTTGGTGTCAATTTGCTATTCTGGTATCTAAAAAAGAAAATTTCAATTTCAATTGCTTAAAGTGAAGAACTATTTGTTCTTTCAGGTTCCAAACAATAAACAGATCAATAATCGCAATTCAAATCCTAATAAACAATTAAAAAAACCAAATTAATTTTCCCAATCTTTTCTCAGTAACCAATCACCAGAAAACAAATTCCCCGAAAACTAACCAGTCAGAAGCGGTTATAATAACACCAGCCCAGATAGGAAAAAACCCATTGCTGAGAATCTTGATAGCAATTACACTCCCAATCACCTCCTGAATATTAGCCCCAATCAAAGCAAGCTCTGACATGAACCACAACAACAACCCAGCCCAATACTGATACTCTTTCCTACACAGTTCCGCCAAGTGCCTCCCCCTGGCGACACCGATCCTCGCCGACAACAGCTGGATCGGCAAACCCATCATGGTGGCCCACATCAACAACCACAGCAGCGAATACCCAGCAATCGCTCGCTCTGTGTGAGAGAAAGACAGAGGGCGATGGCGATTTGCGGCGGTGGCGATGTGCGACGGATGTGAGCAACGGTGGTGAGGGACTTCGGTGAGCTAGAGAGAGTGGGCACCGATTGAGGGCACCGATTGAGAGAAAGAACACAGAGAGGGAGAGGGCGGACCGAGACACAGAGCGAGATAGAGACAATGGAGATTAGGGCTCTTCTTTTTTTTTCTTTTTTCTTTTTTTTTTTCTGCTTTCATGGAACAAAACGACGTCGTTTTGTTATTGGCGACCAAATTTATTTGTCGCAAAAAAAATTCAATTCCCACCCCACTAAAAATCAAATTTCCCTCCCAAACTTTTGGCGACCAAAAGACCACATTTGTCGCAGAAAAAGGTACCTTTGCCGACAAATTGTTTTAGTCGCCAAATCTCAATCAACGGCGACTAAAATATTAGTCGCTAAAAGTACTAATTTGGCGACTAATTTTTTTTGGTTGCTGAAAATAAGTTTTTCGCGACCAAATTTTTGGTCGCCAAAAAAAATGTGACATTCTGCGACCAGATTTGTAGTTGGTCGGCAAAAGTATACCACTTTCTGCGACCAACACATTTTTTGGTCGCCAAAATATAACCTTCTGCGACCAATAATATTTGGTCTCCAAAAATAATGATTATTCGCGACTAATTAATATTTGGTCGCCAAATGTCATTTTTTTGCGACCAAAATTTTTTTGGTCGGCAAAAGTGGTCGCCAAATGTGTGAATTGTTGTAGTGAATTTTTTGGAAATTTTTTTCTAAAAGTCATCTCCAAAATGCAAACCAAACATACCCAATATTCTTTCTTCTATATTTTTAGCAGTAAGTGATGGGATGATCATATTGAAGCGAAAGTTAAATTTTAACAACTTAATTACTACAATCAAAGGATGAAGGACTAAAGTAGAAGAAAGTTTGAAGGTAAAAAATGTAATTTACCAAGAATTTTAATATGACATTCTTTTCACCCTAAATTTTAATAGGACATTTGTTAGATGACATAAGGGTAGGGTGAGCTTAAGTTGTTGCTTGAATTTAAAATCTCATTTAAAGTTGGTTGATAACCAAAGCCAGGAGGGGGCATGAAAGAGACAAGACAACAAGTCATAGCTTATCAATCTATTAAAGGGGAAAAAAAAATCAAAAACAAGAAGAAGAAGAAGATAGAGTTTTGAAAAAGAGAAATGCAAAAAATAGCATTTAGGTTGTTGTTAGTGTTGAAAATTTTATGTAAAAAATATATAAAAGTATATTGAGATGTTTAAAAATATTTTAAAATATGTAAAAAAAATATATTAAAATTATATAAATTTTCACATTTAATACTTCTTAGAACTACCTTAGCTACACCTTGGGGAAAAAAAGCAACAAATCATGACAATCCCATTTCGGTGGTACAAGTTGTGCAACCATCTGTCAGTAGTGATGCATATCTTACTTGTGGGTGGTAGGGTCCATTGATGCCAATACTAATCACTTCCCTTAAATATTATTAATATGTGAGGATTATCATTATAAATATATAATATTGATATATCAAACGTGACTTCTATGCATATGTATTAATTAAATTGGGCCTAAGATTATAGTTGTGAGGTTAATTAGGCTGCATTAAGACTGGTTTTTGTAATATTTTTGCAAACATTGATATTATTATTAATTGGCATCCATTCTCAAATTAATTTTGTGTTTAGATATTATATTTGGGGGGAAAATTGTGAAAAGAAAAAAAAAAGAGAGAGAGAGAAAAGAGAAGAAAAATGTGATAATATTTTTTTCTTTTTCCTTGTCTCCAAACAACTCAACATTCAAACACAACCTCAAATAAAAAGGTTCATTGACAATTATCCAATTTAAGCACTCAATGAGATGAACAAACAAAGGTCTACTTATACTTGGTAGTTGAGAACCTACCAAATATAAATGGGAAAATTACACTAACCTCCCTTGAAATGTGCGAAAGGTATTGTCTACAATTTTTATATAATTATGAATAGTGCGAAATTTCAATGATAAATAAAGAAATATATATAGTGTAAAAAATATGATATCATATTTTTTTTTATTCGTATGACTAACAAAATATTGATAAAAATGAAATGAAATGTTATGTGAATTAAAATTTTAAAAAAATTCATTAAAATTGTGAAATCTTTAGTAATTTCTCCAAATGTAATTTACCCAATATAAATTCACAAGATTAGAATTTCAAAGAGATCTTCATGTTCTAAAAGATTGTCATTCACTTTCAAAGATTTATTGATAAACAGTTGCATAATTTTAAGGCTAATGAGGTTGATTTATCATCATTAACAATGACTTTTTGGAATAGAAAAAAGAAAAAAAAAAAATGAGGGCATGCATGGGCAAGTTGCTCCTATCATATCTAATGTGTCTCCCAACTAAAAATATCTCGAAGTGCTGGTCACCTACCTCACAAAAAGCCATCACAAAAACAACATTGATGTAATTACACAAAGGGGAGTTGTTTACTAATATAATTTAATACATTATGAGCATGTTTGATTGGGTAGATTAGAGCATGTGATTGAGATTATTAATTCGTAAGCTCAATTATCCTATGTTTGTTTTAACATTTTGGTTTAGGATTATTAATCCAACGGATAATTAATCCTACAAATATGTAGGATTATTAGTAATGGGGTAGG